AGGTCTGGCAGCAACTGTGAAGAGAAATCAGAGTTAACATTTCAGGTTGAGTGACCCCTTCCTCAGGACTCCTCAGAACCAGTTCTGTGGAATAGTCACTCGACCCAAAATGTCAACTGTATTCTCTCCACAGTTGCTGCCAGACCTGCTGAGCTTTACCAGCAATTTCTGTTTTTGTTTCTGATTTACAGCATCTGCAGTTCTTTCAGTTTTTATTTAGTATCTACAGTGATAATTAATTCTATTACATAGTGCAATTTTTGGTGTTCCAATTAGAGTTGGAACAAGCAAAGGTGTTCTTTCTGGGTCAACTGAGCCGATCAACTAATGCTGTGCAACTGGCAGTGCCAAGGCTTGTGAACTGTGCAACTAATTAGCCAAGCTGCTCAACACACAACACTTCAGGGTGGGGGTAGAAAATCAGCAGAGAAAGACATGTTTCAGAGTGTTCCTTCCTGGTTGACACTTAGGAAAACAGGACTGAATGAAGTCAAGCAAAACACTGTGTTCATGTAGAGGAAATTAGATTAAAACCAAGGAAAACTTTTTTTTTTTTTTTTAAGAAAAGTTAATAAAGCAACTCAGTTACTGATTTCTTTTTGTAACATTGAGAGAGCCTGAAAAGATTTATCAAGCCTCAACCTTCCAAGCTGTTAATCAAGGGATTCTTCCAACAATAATGAATGGCTAAGTGACCTCAAGATATGCCCATCTCTAACCAATCAATTCCACTGTGCAATTCTTTAATAATTTGGTTCCGGTCATGGTGTTTATTTCTCTTAACACTCCCTCCCCACTCCCTGCACCAATGATTCACATAAGTGCATTACACCTCCTTTTTCTCAGTTCCTCTCTCTATTCTCATTTCCACTAAGAGCGCCAACTTGTATATGTTGTCATTTTAACACTGAGGGACATTATGAAACAAAAGTTGATGTCAAGCCACATCAGGCAGCGTTACAGTGAGGACCAATAGTCTTGTCAAAGAGGCAGATTTTAAACAGGATCTTAAAAGGTGAAAAGAAAGGCGCAGAAGTTTGAGGAAATCACAGGGCATAAGAGGCCTTAGCAGCTGACAGCACAACCAACGAGTGCAACAATTAAAACTGCAAGCTGCAAGAGGCTGGAATTGGAGAGCAACAGAGGTCTCCGTGAGTGGAGGACATTACACACATCAGCAGGAATTCGAAAACAAGAATGTTCAAATGAAAACAGAAAATGCTGGAAATACTTGACAGAAGCTGCCAAACCTGTTGGGAGACAAACAGTTCCCGTCATGTCATTGCATTAGGAGCTCTGATGAATGAGTAACTAACTCTGTTTCTCTCCACAGATGCTGCCAGACGTCCTGGGCATTTACAGCATTTTCTGTCTATTATTTCAAATTTCCAGCAACCTCAGGACTTTGTTTTTGTAATTGTGAAAATTCTAAAAATCAAGGCACTGCTTAATCACAAGCAATTTTACATCACAGGGTGAAGGGCAAATGGTGAAGATTCAGATTTCTTCAAGTTACAATAGGTAAACTTTGGGTCTTTTTGTATTGACTATTCCAAACAAAGGCATTTTATTAATATTTTTGTTTATTGACACCAGTTCCCGGACGCAAATACCTGACCATTGATTTAATGATATGTGTGCGTGTAACACAAGCCAGTACACTTCAAACATAAACACATTTTGCTGAAGGTGAAAAACAGTTATTGAGGAAGGAGCCTGAATTTTTACAAGCAACTATAGTTTCAAGAATTTGACCATTTGGATCACGAGATCAAAGGTAAACATCATTGCTGATAAAAATCCAATTGCTGGACATGGTAACAATGTCCTAAACACCATCTAAATGTACAGATTTCCTCTCAAGGCCTTCCAGAGAATAACAGAAAAAGAGATTACCTCTTCAAAGCTGTCAATCATGAAGAAGATGTTTGGATAACTGATTTTGGATTCCTCTCCTTTACTATCCATTGGATGCTTACTTGGGGAAGCAAATACTTGCTGTTTCAAAAAGCAAAAGCAACAGGAAAATGATTTTGATTTCAACAGGTGAAAGCACAGCACCCCAGTACAACTTAAATATTACCATAGCTAAGAACTTTGCAGGACAATTCAGAAAATAAAACTTGCACTCTTTTACAGAAACTGAACTATTGCTGATATTCACTGTCGTACTTTAGAAGGTAATGAGTATTCAGCAGAACCTAGTGTTGACACTGTTCACCATTAGCAAGCAGGCTGAAGCCACAGCCAGCAACTTAACCCATTGAAAATCCTCTTGCCCAATAATTGCCAACTTGCCCATTCAGCCTACAGCAGCTAATATGGCTTTCGTTTCCCAGTGCACTGGCAGGATTGATTATTTGATTAGTAGTGAGGAAGTTGGGTAAGGAAATAATAGATTTAAACTTGCCTGGAAAGGATTAAAACAAGGCCAAAATTCAAGAGATGTATATGCGTGAGTACAAGCAAAAGTAATAGTATGCTCTGGCGTTCACTTTAATGCACCAATTCCACGTAGACATGTTAATTATTGGTACTGAGCTGACTCTTATATTGGTGATCGGGGAACACTAGCTCAGTTTTAAATTAAAACTGGTTGAAGCAAAAAAAAAAAAAAAAAAATCCATCTCAAGTTTTACCTCTGATTAAGGCCAACCTTGGTGGATAATGTTCTGGACATTGATATCATGATATAAATACATGTTTCCTTTATTTGTTCATGCCACATTGTCCTTGCTTGCAAAACCTCCATTTACTGCCCATCATAATTGCAATTAAGATGGCAGTGAGCTGCCTACCTGAGTTGTAGTATTTCTGGGAACTAGGTACACTAAGGACCTAGTGCTATTAAGAAGGAAGGGAGTTCCAGCATTTGACGCAGTGACAGTGAAGAAATGTACTTGAAAGTCATAACGGTGTATAATTTAGAGAGGAATGGCAAGTGGTGGTGTTCTCATGAATCTGCTGTCCTTATCCTTCTGGATGCTTGGGATTACAGGTTTGTAGGTATTGTCAATAGAGCCTTGGTGAATTACTGCCAATGCATCTTGTAGATGGCACATACTGCTGTGACTGTGCGGTGATGAAGGGAGTGAATGTTGACGGTGGTAGATATGGTGACAATCAAGTGGGCTCTTTGACCTAGAAGATCAAACTGCTTAAGTATTGTTGGAGCTGCACTCTACCAGGCATGTGGAGTGTATTCCATTGTAGTCTTGACTTGTGCCTTGTAGATGTTGGACAGGCTCTGGAGAGTCAGGAGGTGAGTTACAAGATTCCTACATTCTTCTGTTCTTGTAACCACACAATTTACATGGCACGTCCAGTTCAGTCTCTGGTCAGAGGTCACCCACAAGATTTTGGGGGTGGGGAAGTGCAACGATGGTAATGTCATTGAACATCAAGGGGGCAATGGTCAGATTCTCCCTTCCTGGAGATCGTCATTGCCTGGCACTTGTGTGGTGTGAATGTTAATTGCCACTTGTCAGCCCAAGTCAGGTTTTGCTGCATTTGGACATGGACTGCATATCTGAGGAGTCGCAAATGGTGTGGAATATGGCTACACAATCAGCAACAGCGCCCGCTTCCAGAAGGTAGGTCATTGATAAAGCAGCTGAAGATTGTTGGGCCTAAGACACTACTCTGAAGAACTCCCGCAGAGATGCCCTGGTACTGGATAGCTGACCTCCACACCACAACCATCTTCCTTTGTGCCAGGTATGACTCCAACCAGGAGATAGAGAGATCCCCATGATCCTTATTTGCTGGAACGTTGTCAGGGCTCAATCTTTGCAGTATCCAACACGGTCACTAAATCTTTGATACCATGTGAAGTGAATCAGAAGACTGGCATCTGAGATGCTGGGACATCTGGAGAAGTCTGATTATGGATCATCTACTCAGCACTCTGCTGACGATTTTTTACAAATGTCTCAGTCTTGTCTTTTGCACTGATGTGCTGGGCTCCCCTGTCGATGAGGATGGGGATGGGGATATTTGCGGAGCCTCTTCCAGTGAATTGTTTCATTGTTCTTCATCATTCCTAAGCGGATGTAGCAGGACTGCAGAACTTAGGTCTGATCCGTTGGTTGAGATCTTTTTGCATGCTGCTAATGCTGCGTGGGACTCAAGTAGTCCTGTATCGTAGCTTCACCTGATTTAACACCACCTTTAGGTATGTCTGGGGCTGCTCCTGACATGCTGTCATGCACTCTTCATTGTACAGTGTTAATTGTCCAGCTTGATGGAACGGTAGAGTGTAGGACATGCTGGGCATGGCGTTACAATTTGTGATCAAGTGCAATTCTGCTGCTGATGGCTTACAACACCTCAGATTTCCAGTTTTGAGTTGCTAGATCAGTTTGAAGTCTGTCCCATTTGGCGCACAAGGAGAATATCCTTAAGGTGAATGTGGGAATTCATCTCCAAAACAAAAAAAAAGGACTTTGTGGTAGTCAGTACCAATAGTGTCGCAGATGTGCAACAAGTAGACTGGCAAAGACAAGGTCAAGTAGGTTTTTTCCCCTCTTGTTGGTTCCCTCACCACTTGTGCGGAACCCAGTCCAGCAGCTGTGTCCTTTAGGTCTCAGCCAGTTTGGTCAGTAATGGTGTTATTGAACCACACTTGACAATCAAGTCCTCCACCCAGAATATATCTGCACTCATGCCCCACCCTGTGCTTCTTCCAATTAGCGTTCAACGTGGAGGAGCACCGGTTCATCAGCTGAGAGGAAGCAGTAGGTGACGATCAGCAGGTTTCCTTACCCATGTTTGAAGTTTTATGGCACCTGATCAATGTTCAGGACTTAATTCCCTGTTGACCATAAACCACTGCTGCTGCCTTTGATGGTGGTAGTGTCAGGAACATTGACGCTTGGCTAGTCTAAGGGACTGCTCACTCAATTCTGGCACAAGGCCCCGGTTGTTGGTAAGAGCGATGAAAAAATGGCTACATTTGCCTTTGTTCTTGCCAGATGGTCCAATTCATGGTTTTCTTTAGGCTTTGTAGAAATTTATTACAATAGAGAGCATTGCTAGGCCATTTCTAAGGTTAGTCAAGAATAAACCACACTGCCGATGGTCTGAAGTCACCTGTGGGCCAGACCAGGTAAAGATGGCCAATTTGCTTCCCTAAAAAGGTTATTAGTGAACCAGATGAGTTTTTATTTAAACTATAATCAATGGTGGTTATACGGTTGGCATTAGGATAATGTTTTAATTCCAAATTTTTTAAAATCCAAATTTCATCATCTGCCATGGCAAGATTCAAGATGGGAACATAAACTCAGGGTCTGTTAGAATTCTTCAATATTCTGTTTAATGTATTTGATGACAGCAGGGCTGCTGAATGTCAGAGATATCCTGTAGCTTGTACCAGAACTAAACCGATATCAGGAAAAAGCTTGCTAGATCTGTGAACAGTATTCTGAGATCAGTGGCGAATAACATAACTCTGCTGCTAAACTTGAAATCTAAGCCTTAGGTTTGTATCTATTTATAGGCAGCTTGAACTCGGACATGTCTTTTCAGCAAAACTTTTACAAAGAAACTTAAGACCACTTAAGTTGCCATATCCCCTTACCTTGCCATGAAAAATGGAGTTGGTCACTCACCTGTGACTTTTTCTTATGAATGTGAATGTCTCCTCCATCTGACCGTGTGCACACTGCACACGTTACTACATATTCCAGCTACAGATAGAAAAGCACAGGTTTTACGACAATTTTGCAGCTTCTTGTTAATATTTGCATATGAATCAAAACAGCACTGAAAAGCTGTTCAACATTGTGATGCATCACAATCAAGACCCCATCTTGCTTTCACCAGATATCCACATCTGTGTATTTCTTAGCAATTGATGCTGGATATAAGTGAGGCATGGGATGGCTAATATTTTCCCACTCCATAGTAGAATGAGCATCATTGCAAATACCCCATTGGTGACCTGACTAACAACTAATTCAGTACAGACCAACGTTTAAAGCTTTTGGTTTGGTAAGACAGTACTGCAGCAGTATGTAATCTTACCAGAATCATCCAGGTACCTACTGTTCCCTTCCCTGACCTAAATAAATTGTAAAGATGAATCTATTTGCTGATGTTCTGACTGGTAGGAGGCAGACAGAGATTGACTTATGAGACGTATTGTTGAAGATTCAGCAGCAATTCCTGAATCCACAATGTGCACTGAAATCAAACAGTTGGTAATAGTATCAGAGAAGAAATAGCTTGTGATGAATTTGTCCTCCTATAGGATCAGGGACAGGGTTTAAAATATTCAAATGTCATATTTGTAACTCTCACCAAGTCATCATTGAAAAAGAGGGAATAACTTCAAAATTAACCAAAACATTTCAGAAAAATCAAAAGGTCTGCTAACAGAAATTACCAAAGTAAAATAAATCAATTCACCAGATTTCAAAAAAAAAAATGAAGTTCAGTAAGTATTTTCCTCCCAGTTAATGTTTTAATTTTAATAAGCTGCAATTTTGATAGTTCTGGGTGTGTGGCTGAAAAACTATATTTTCCCCCCGACTCCTGTATCTGCTTACATGTCCATAGGATGTGGGCATTTTCTGGCTAGGCCAGTAGATATTTCCCATCTGCAAGTGTTCTTGAGAAGGGAGCTACCTCAGCCCTTGAGGTGTAGGCGTGAACACACAGTGTAAGTAGGGAGGCAATTCCAAGATTGGAAACAGCACTAGTGAGCGAGCAGTGATATAATTCCAAGGCAGGGCAGTGTACAGCTTGGAGGGGCAGCAGGTAGTGGGGTTTGTTTTCCTCATTCAATTCATTCATTCCTGGGATATGGGAGATGCTGGTTGGGTCTGTCCTTAGTTGCCACGGAGGCGAAGGTGGTGAGCAGTCAATATGCTGTCAGTCGATCCATAGCACGTCAAGGAGGGAATTTCAGGATTTTGACCAAGCAACAGTGGAGGAATGGTGATATACTTCTAAGTCGGGATGGTGAATGGCTTAGAGCGGGATTGCAGGGGGTGGTATTCCCACGTATCTGTTACCCATGTCCTTCTGGATGGGTTTGGAAATTGCTGTCTAAGGATCCTTGATGAATTTCTGCGGTGCATATTGTAGATAGTATGCACTGCTGTTACTGAGCATTGGTGGTTGAGGGATGTGGTGCCAGTCAAGTGGACTGCTGGATGGTGTTGGAGCACTCACGCAGGCAAGTGGGGAGTATTCCATCACACTCCTGACTTGTGCCTTGGAAATGGTCGACAGGATTTGGAGAGTCAGGAAGTGGCTTATTCACTGCATGGTTCCTAGTCTCTGACCTGCTCTTGTAGCCACTATATATAGCCCAGTTCAACTTCTAGTCAATGATAAATACCCAGGATGCTGACAGTGGGGGATTCTGTGATGAAAACATTATTGACTGTCAACGGGTTCGATTCTCTCTTGTTGAAGAGGATCATCGCCAGACATTTGTATGGCATGAAAGTGACTCGCAACTGATCAATCCAAGCTTTGATAAGATCAAGGTATTGCTGCATTTGGACATGAACTGCTTCAGTTTCTTAAGAGTTGCAAATGGTGCTGAAGATTCCCACTTCTGACAGTTATGGAGGGGAAGTGATCATTGAAGCAGCTGAAAGTGGTTTGGCTGAGGACATTACCCTGAGGAACTCCTGCAGAGATGTGCTGTTCTCATGGAGATTTTCTCATTGGAAGGTAGAGGTCACAGGTTTAAAAGATGCTGATTGCTGCCACTTTATTGGTGGTGGATGGGATACTCTATCATCCTGGATGGTGTTCAGCTTCAGAAGTGTTGTTAGAGATGGAAATGTGGTAACACTGTCAAGTCATCCCTAGTAGTATAAAGACTCACACGTAGGCCAGACTGCAGAGATGGCCTGCACACATCACTACACATTCTGTAATAGAGAGAAATGTGAGCTTTGTACTTCTACAAATTGACAGGTTACACAAATCCAATTTCACCATTTCTCACTGGTTGAATTCAAAAACCAGTGAACTGGTGATCAAGCCTTATACCTGTTAAGCTACACTATGTAAGCCAAAGTTCTCCATCACTATTGTGTACCTGAACTCTAATTAGAATAAACCCTCCTATGAAAAATATAGTGCTGGTTTATTGTGAACAGGATTCATTCACCACTTTTCAGGCTTTCTAACTAATATACAATCTCTTGATGATGATAATAGAGGAGATACCCATCACCACACAAACCACAAGTTCCTGTGAACCCTTGTGGGATTAAAAAGAAAATAAAATCTTGATTAAAATACATTTTTAAAAATATTAATTGAGGGCAGTGATATAAAAATAGAGCCAAGCCCCTCATCCCAAGAAAATCTGGGAGAAATTGGGACCGCTCTGCTTAAAGCAGAGAAGGTTAAGGAGAGATTTAATTCAAGTTTTCAAATCGTGAAGGATTTTGAGAATAAACGAAGAAAGCTATTTCACTGGTAGGAGGATCAACCGCCAGAATATGACAATTAACAGAAAGCCAGAATATGGTAATAAGAACTGGGTCAAAAAAGTAATGCATTATTGTAATGTATAATGCACTGTCTGAAAGGGTGCTAGCAGAAGATTTGATTGTAGCTTTTGAAAAGAAATTGGATATATTTAACAAGGAAGCATTTACAGGACTATGGGAAAGAGCTATGGGATTAACTGGAAAAGATCTTTCAAAAGTTACCTAAGCCTTTCTTTGCTGAAAAACAGCCTACAATTTATTGTTAAAATAAGAAAGGTAAATGGTGTTAGCAACTATACATATACAATGTTGCAACTTAGGTGACAGCGGATGCACAGTTCACGGAATCATAGAATCCTTACAGTGCGGGAACAGGCCCTTCAGCCCATCAAGTCCACACCGACCCTCACAGCATTCCACCCAGACCCATCCCCTACCCTTCCCCTGTACCCCACCTAATCTACGCATCCCTGGACACTATGGGCAACTTAGCATGGCCAATCCAGCTAGCCTGCATATCTTTGGACTGTGGGAGAAAACCAGAGGCACTCGGAGGAAACCCATGCAGACATAGGGAGAACGTGACTCCAAACAGTCGCCTGAAGGTGGAATCAAACCCAAGTCCCTGCTGCTGTGAGGCAGCAGTGCTAAACACTGAGCCACTGTGTCGCCTGTTGAACATGGGAATTCAAAAATCATTGTCAAGAGTTGCACTGCTTTGCTGTTAGCTTGACAAGAATGGCATCTCTGATTACCTTGCACTGAGGTTGCTGCCCCTGCACACAGACTAAACTCACCACAGAATGTTGTATTGCCTTTTCAATCCAAATATTGTTTTGATGTGATGTGTTAACTATTGTCAAATCACTTCTTTAGCACTGAAATTAACACTAGTGTTGAGCCTCATTCAGATTTTAGCTGTTATTGGAGATTTCAAATTGCAACTTTCTTTCAAAATTGTATAAAGGAGAAACAATGTTTCTCTTCCACTATCTTCTTTCTCAACCTGATCTTAGCATTGAATTCACTCATTCTGATTTGACAGATCATGCACTGTTCATTTCACAATCCTTCCACCTGTTTGTTGACAGACGTGGACTATTGCATGTTCTGTTTGCTCAGGTTTTCAGTCACCAAATTCCCCCTCCTCCTGTGGTTTATAGCCAGTGAATAAGATTCATAATTGAAAACTGAACGGTCACTAGAGGGTGCTCTAGTTGAGGTGCAATTAGTGTGATATAAAAACTGCTAAAGATTTGGGAAATTCAAACTACAAGAAAATCAAAGCAGCAAAAAAAGAATTTGGGTGCAATGACTACATTTACATTGTTGTTGACTTGGTCCTATGGAACTGAAAGTGATATAGAAAGGTACTTATTTCGTGCTAAAGATCTTCCTTCTCATTTATCGTGTTAGTAAACAAAACAGCTTCTAGTACAAGACTATAAAATGAAGCGTTATTGAGCTGTTCAACTAGATGGATTAAGTCAAGCAAGTCTCAAATGTAAGGTCCCATATGCACACACTTAGCAGGAGTCACCAGACACTGATCATGAAAAGGAGAAACCCGATCTTACCCTCTCAGATCCCCAGGACATCCCAACATGCTTAACAGCTATTAGTTCCTTTTAAAGCTGTTGCTCACTATGCTACTTCAAGGTGGGTCAACCCTGGTTGACTTTCCTCTTCCTAGACCAAATTCACCAATTTTAGAATCGCTGGTGACCCCGTCTACATTGTCAACCACGTTGAAGACAGCTCACTTGGTACAGACCAAGTTAGTTATATATCTTGTCTGCTTCCCTGAATTAAATACAGCATTTAGTCAACTGAGATTAAAAGCAGAAAACCAGTAGTGAAATGCATTTAAAAGAAAATGTAATCAACTGACAATTGCAGAGTTGTAAAGATAAGAATAAACATCCTGTCAGACCATTGAAACCCATAGGATCCTGGTGGTCATGAGTTTGAAACAAAATCAGGTATGGCACATCAAGATGGAGAGTGACCGTTCACGAAGTATCCAGGCTCACTGTACCTTTTGTAAAACCAGATTCAGGTAAACGCTTTCCTCCCAGTCAATGTCTGGATCACCAAGGCCAGGCAGCTTCTTGGAATCTCGGCGGTAAACTTCAACTTCAACCTGACAACACAACAGGAGAGGGCAAAACCAAAAAAACTCACTTAATATTTCCCAAACTGGAGTCATCCAGATCAGCCAAGATACTGATTTATGGTAATTTAGAGAATCAGTTTTTAAAAAAAACATAGCATTCTGGGTTTCCCACTGATGTTTCCAAATTGATGGAACTTACAGAAAATTGTGACAGTGGTTGCAAAAGCTGGAGCTGTGGGAATATGGACGTATGACAGATAATATATAGTATCACATAAGACACTTCAACCATAATAGGAAAAGGAGACTCAGTATAATGTGGTAAAATTTTTAAAAGGGATCGGCCTTGCTGTACAGAATAGAGACTTTTTTTAATATTCCACGAGAGCAGAGATGTAATAACTGTGGAATGACTGTGCAGAAACTGCCCAGTATATGTTAAGGGTGGTCAAATATAGCTACGCAGAGAAGCCTGAAGTTAAGTCTCCCTCTACCCACTCGGTTTGTGAAACTGAAGGCCTGACAAGGTCTTTAAGATTATGAATAGTTATTACAAAGAAGTTGCATCAATTGACAGGCTGATAACAAGACACGTAAAAGAAAAGAAAGAACTGCTGTTTTAACTTCTCATTTCAACTGTTTTAATCAAAAACAAAACTATAGTTTCACCATGAAATAATTTCATCCAGGCATACCTAGCTCCAACAGTCCAGAATCTGGATTATGGCTTTATAATTTTTTTTTTTTCGCTTACATTGAAATAGATTGGATCCCTTAGAGTCATGTTTTATCATCACACAAAAAGGTATGGAGTTATTCTGCTCACCTTTTCTCTAGGGACAGTACAAAACTATTATATTCTCTGTATACACTGATGCTTTTGTTACACACATGCCACTTATGAATGTGACAAAAAAAATCCATCCCCAGTGTTACGTGAAAAAAAAAATCAATGCTAGTGGGCTTTCTGTTTCTAAACAGGGAAGGAGATCAAGTTAATTTTGATGGTGTGTCATTCCTGTCACAGGATCAGTCAGTTTTGTATTATCTTGTCCCATTGTTCAGCTGATTTTGGGAACTCATTCTACTTTTTTGAAATGATACTGTTTGTTTATTGCAAATACTTTATTGGGATGAGCACATTTTAATACTGATCATGGACAAATACTTCAGTCAGAATGTAACTTGCACTTTGGTGAGAACATACATTGACGCTGGAGTATGCGAGTTACACTATATAATTTTCATTGCATTTTTTTTTTAAAGGAAGTGACTGGGTGCTCAGATAAGGGTAGTGCAGTGGTCTATGTGGACTTCAAGTAAGGCTTTTGACAAGGTCTCCTATGGTTGACTAGTTAAGAAGGTAAGAGCCCATGGGATCCAGGGCAATTTGGCAAATTGGATCCAACATTGGCTTTGTGGCAGGAAGCAGAGGCTAATGGTGGGAAGGAGCTTTTCTGTCTGGAAGCCTGTCTGGTGGGCTGTTTATTGTGTATATTACTGATTTATACATGAATGTAACGGGTATGATTAACAAATTTGTTGTTGACAGAAATTGGTGGTGTGTTAAATAGTGAGGAGGGAAGAATTAGACTACAGGACAATAAAGATGGGGTGGTCAGATGGGCTGAACAGTGGAAATGGAATTTAATTCTGAAAAGAGAGAGGTGATGCATTTTGGAAGAACACATTGAATCGCTGGACCATAGGAAGCACAGAAGATCAAAGGGACCTTGATGTGCATGTTATTAGATCCTTGAAGGCAGCAAAACAGAAAGGGGGCAAAGGAGGCAGATGTGATACTTCCCTTTATTCATCAAGGCATGGAATACAAGAGTGAAAATATAATGATGATAAAGCTGTATGTAATGCTGGTTAGGCCACAGCTGGAGAACTGTGTGCAGTCCTGGTCGCCACACTACAGAAAGGTGTGATTGCACTAGAGAGAGAATGTAGAAGAAATTCACCAGAATGTTGCCTGGGCTGGAGTGATTCAACCATGAAGGGAGACTAGAACATTTAAAGGCATCTGGATGGGTATATGAATAGAGGGATATGGGCCAAATGCTGGCAATTGGGACTAGATTTATTTATGGATGAGTTGGACTGAAGGGTCTTGTTTCCATGCTGTACAGTTCTATGACTCCATAACAGTAAGGCTAAGGGCTGGGAGGGGCTAGGGGTGGCAGGAGGTGGGGAAATCTGATTAAGGTGTACAAAGTTCTGAGGGGCATAGACAGGACAGATAGGGAGAACTGTTTCCCCTTAGCATCAGGGGGCACAGTTTTTTAAAAAAGGGAAGGAGCAGAAAGTTCAGAGGATTTAAGGAAATATCTGAAACTCACTGCCTAAAAGGGTGGTTGAGGTAAGAACCCTCAAGTCATTCAAGAACCATTTGGATGAACACTTGAAGTGCTATAGCATACAAGGCTATGAGCCAAGTGCCAGTAAACAAGATTAGAATGGATGGGTGTTTAATGATTGGTGTGCACATATTGGCCCAAAGAGCGTCATTCCATTAAAAAAAAACTCATTATTTGAAGCTTCTGCCTCCACAACTGGAGGTCTCCCTGCTCCAGTGTACAGCAGGATGTTGAGACAACAAAGCACCAGAATAAATCTGGAATAAATGTTTATATTTTCAGATCTATCTATCATCATTGCTCTAATGATTCTTTCTAGAAATACCTCACTGCATGGCTTGACAAAGTAATCTATGCAAACTATTCAATCGCTCCAGCCACAAACTAAATCAGAAGTAACTAGCCTAAGGGGTGTGAACGCCTCCTGGAACAATACCTCCCGATATCTAGACCCCCTCCATGATGCATTGCAATGTCTGAAATTATGACTCCAGCTCAACAACGCTGAGCTGCTGATGTGGATGCTATGGGGTAATGCAGGTAATCACTGGACCTCACACTCTACACATCACCTGCTGTGCTATATTTTCTTGAAAGCAATTAGATTTCAAGATTTGAATATCACTTAATAATCATCAGTTATATTGGAGTTTATCTAGTTACCCTACAAATTTCATAACACTGAAATCTCCTCAGTACCAGTTTAAACTCCTGCCCCAGTTTTGATACAGCTGGTATGTGGAGCCAACATAGATCACAGAATCCCTACAGTGTAGAAACAGGCCCTTCGGCCCAACAAGTCCACACCAACCCAGACCCATCCCCCTATAACCCACCTAATATACACATCCCTGAACACTACAGGCAATTTAGCATGGCCAATCCACCTAGCCTGCACATCTTTGGACTGTGGGAGGAAACCTGAGCACTTGAAGGAAACCCACACAGACACGGAGAATGTGCAAACTCCACACAGACAGTCACCTGAAGGTGGAATTGAATCTGGGTCCCTGCTGCTGTGAGGCAACAGTGCTAACCACTGAGCCACCGTGTCATCCAGTTGATGTCAATTGATGTTTTGATATTCCTTTTGCTTAAAAATAATGTACTGGATCTGTTAAATCAGCAAGACTAATAACCAAAAGAAATTGACCAACCATTTGCTTCAAGCTGAAAATAATTTGGTAGGGAAAAAAAGTTGATTAAAAAAAAATCTTTCAGCATATTATTTGTATTTGAAGTTTGAATACAGTTACTCAGAAACAAACATGTTGTCTAGTGCTAAATAATTACAATTCAACATAGAACTAATTAAAATCTGTAACAGAGAATGTAGCCAGGCCCACAGTACAGCTCATGAATAATTATTCAGGTGCACATAATCCCTAGGCAATTACCAGAGTCGAATTCTCCGTCCAGCTGAATAATTTGCTTTTATTGTGTGGGTGCACGCCATAAGGAAGCCGTGTGGAAAAAGGATTGTCCCTAAATTTAATTTTGTTTGCTGTCTGGTTGTGCCTAAACAATTTGGGCAGCAGGGGAATCTCATTATGTCATAGATGCTGTACCTGTAATAACGCTTTGTATACAACAAAAAAAAAGCAAAAAAAAAAAAAAAAAATTCATGGTGTAAAAATCTGTTCTGAGTGGTAGGGGTGTAGAGTTGCAAGAGACTAGAAACCACCCTGGAGCTTTTTTTTTCATGACACAACCCCAAATTACTAAGCCTTTTCCATCTTCCAGAATAAAATCCCATAATAAATTGAAATTGTTCTGTTTTGCTGTTCTGTGTTGCATATGCCACAGTGTTGCATGCTGATACCTCTAGCTCCAACTCACCTTGCAATTTGCTTCAGTCTCTTTGGGTTGTTGCCATCAAATTCAATTGAGGGGGGAAGAGGAGGGATAACCGCTCTACTTTAAGGCTCAATAAACTTAAGTGAACGCAATTCTTAAAAAATCACATTAGACTAAAAGGTTTTAGCATTTCCAAAGCAATACAGTGTTTCCATGCATTGGCAATCTGATCGATGTACTGTGTTTCAATCTGTCAGGCTTGTCCTGGAATTTTCAGAAATTACTGATTTTTCAAAAGTAAGAACACAGCACAATTAGCAGTCATCTTTCAGTGAATAACAGGAGGATAGGGGACTCAGTCATCGTTGGGATGACTACAAGAATATCATTTCTTGATGGTGGTGGGGAGTTGAGCAATATTCCTTTGCGAGTAATGAGCCTGTACTGTCAGATATGATCACAACATAAGATCATTAGGTACGCTAACCACATCACTGTGCTTACTTCCAAGACCCCAATAACAGAAGCAAAGCATATTTTAAAAAAGCAATTCAGCTCATCAAGTTGGCTCCACTCAAAAGAAAAATGGAACAGAGGCAGCAGCCATGTGTGAGCTGCATTTGAGTTATTAAGGATGCTGCTACATTTAAATACGCTGCAGTCTAGATGCCAGGCAGTGTCAGTTTCCTTATCCTGTTGGTTGACTGAAGCTTTTGTAAATCTGCAATTCTGCCAGGGTACGGGAGTTATTTATAGCTACAAGATAGGTTTATAGAGCAGCTTTAAGATAGTAAAACATCCTAACGCGTTTCAGAGATGTAAGCGGACAGAATTTGATACAAAAGCCACAAAAATACATAAGACTGTCGATCAGAAGCTAGATCAGAAATATGAGTGCTAAGGAGTGTCTCAAGATTGTTGATTAAGCTTTGAAAGTGAACATCATTCTGGAAGAACCATTTTTTTTTTTAAAAAAGACAACAGGAGAGGAAACTAAGCGTGCAAAGAAAACCAGAGCAATTCATTTGCTGTGAAATTCTCCCAGGAAAATATAACTGACCAGAGTTGTACAAGTTGCACAGCTTTGAAATGCCTGCCTGGTGTCGGATTAGGGTTTTCCTCCATCTAATACTCATTAAGCAGCTTACTTTCAATTGCAGCCTCAGAAAATTTCAGCTGGAGTGGAAATAATGTGCAGTTGCTGAAATGCTACTCAGGCATTCTGCTGAAATATCACAAGAGAAAGGAAACAGCTTTTGTTCATTTTAACAAAATGATCAGCTAAGCAAAGAAACCTCAAACAATGGTCAAATATAACCGAATTGTCCTGTCCAATTTATTTTAGTTTATAATGTGTTACTTCTACCAAACAAACTAAAAATGTGCTCAGAGTAAAAAGAAGACAGCTTTTTCTCTTAAGTCTTTAGGATATTCATTGACGATAGTGAATATAATAAGGTGATTTGATCTTTATCAACGAGGAGCTCCAAGGAAGAGCAAGTCTGGGACCTTCCAGTTTGACTTTAGCTTAGGACAGCAATGCAAGAATAGAGCCATATTGCTCCATGTATAGCCCATCTTTCAACAAGGTCTGGACTGATCTGACTGTAGGGTATCTAGTGCAGGGAGCTGGGTGGAGCTCACACATTGGAGCTTGCTGCTGAACCCTAGTCTGCATGTGACATTCCTACTGGCTTTCTGCCAAACAGAAGAGGGTGGACACATCATTTAAACAACTTAAACTAAACTGAATTGAAAATCTTGTACTCCCACAGGTACTGTCCCTGTTCTGAACTAGAAGCCCCAGGCTATGTACAACTGCTGTGAATCTTCCCATTTTTTATATTCTATTCCTTTGCAGTAGGCACCAAAAGTACACGTCATCATAATGACTCCAACCCCAAGTGAACTAACTACTAAACTGAATATTTCGAAACAAAATGTAACAGCTTCTTTCCCTATAAAGGTTATTGAAACGTTTTAATTTCACAAGGAGGTTAAATTGATCAAATCCAAAAATTGTACACAAGGAAAAGACTTCCTAGCAAGTTCTCTATTTAACCTTTCCTTACTTGATATCTTTTCAGAGATCGTAGGAACTGCAGATGCTGGAGAATCTGAGATAACAAGGTGTAGAGCTGGATGAACACAGCAGGCCAAGCAGCATCAGAGGAGCAGGAAAGCTGACGTTTCAGGCCTAGACCCTTCTTCAGAAATCTCAGCCTTGCTGCTCAGCCTGCCGTGTTCATCCAGCTCTACACCTTGTTATCTCTTACTTGATATCTATTCAAGTAACAATGTTGGAACAATTATGCAAAACTGAAAGAGGAAGCCAAAAAGATTTGAAAGTCCAATTAACAGCAAGTCATTTGAAAGCTCAGAAAAACAAGGCATGAACTAATGAACACAAAACATCTTTAATTTACTCATTGCCTGTGCCTACCTGCTTTCCATCACTGCTGTCTGGGCCAACAAAGGTCAGCTTGCGACGTACGTAGAACAACATATCATCTTGTCTTGAGGCCCATTTCTCCATGAAGTAAGTTGAAAACATCCAGGTCCAAAAGACAATACGATCATCTTTGAAACAGCCTAGTAAGCAAATAAATTGTCTAAGTGGAACTCTAACATGAAAAAAGCAAGTTTAACCAACATATTTTGTTATTAACCTCTGCCAATAGCAGTCTAAACTCTTCGTTCCCATCCCCAAAATGCTGTTAGCTATATAGAATACATGGTTATCAAACTTTTCAATGTAGCGGGCAAAACCAACCAAAAGGTCCATGACTAGTTTGCATTGTTTAAACAAGGATAAACAAAGATTTGTTGTGCAAGCTAATGGTTCTGAAGTGGCTCATATTAGTGTTGTATTTTGACATCAGTAGAATGGGTGGATCCAGTCTTACTATAGACAAGTGCTACTCTAGATTTTAGGGGAATATGTACATGTATAGGTACCAGCTCTCCAAGGTCTCAGTAATTGTGTCTGACCAAATGTAGTTTTATTTATTGCCATTATGTAATAAACCTTCTTATCTTAAAAAAAGTGCCTCTTCTGTAGATTTTCACACAGTCATAAATGCAGTTTGGTTCTGTTCAATAGTATATCAAGAAAACAAACAAGCATTGGTTTGTTTGGAGAAAGTTAGGACTATGTTTACATGCATGAGGCACTAGGAGGGTCCAATAACTGAACGGACCCCATTTAACTTCAGCAGTAAGACCTCAGACAGAAGTTTTTCCCCACTACACCTTGGCGGCAGCTGCCCCAAGCTTTAGTGTGTCCATCAGCACGTAGTCCTGGACCTTGGAATTTGCCAGTTTGCAACACTTGGTCAGGGTCAACTCCTTGTTCTGGAAGATCCACAAGTTTTGGGCAGACCAAACAGTGCCTTTCACAAAGTTGACGGTTCTCCAGGCACGGTTGATATTTGGCTTGGTGTGTCTCCCAGGGAACAGCCCATATGGCACAGTCTCACTGCAGATATTCTACAATGGTATAGCATCTGTTTACTAGATAGTGAGCATTGTTGGCAACAAACTAACTCAAGCAACCCTGGCCTAGTACCACATATTGGTAGAGGCAAATTCCACAAAAGGTAAGCAGGTGCGGTCATTTGGAAAAATACCACATAGATCTGCAGTGCTGTAGATCTGACTGCCAATACGAGGAGATCTGGACGAAAAAAAATATTGGAAGTGTACAGGTTTATCATTTTAAAAAGTAATACTGCCTTAGTATGATGGGTAATTACATTTCAGCACCTAACCGACAGACAGACACTAACAGCCGTAGAAAACATCAAAAAAAGGACAAGCTAAATACTTCGAAGTTAAAACTGTATTCAGAAACTGAAGTACTAGGGCAAGAGAGTGGGTCAGAAAAAGGGAGAAATGCTAGCTACATTAATGAGACAGAGGTCTTAGTGAAGGAGGATGTTTAAAAGAGTAGCAGAGAGTTTTAGTAGTAAAGTTAGGGAGCCCCATGGTATAAGGAAATAACTTTATCAAATATAGTGCAAAGACCAAAAAGGTAAGATAAGGAAGCATAAGAGAGTACCATCTCTCAGAATGAGCACAAATACCATCGACATTAGGCACCACAGTCAAAGGTTCCAAAAAGAAATGTAGAACAGGATTACAGAATAAAAGGTCTTCAGAATTTATTAAGGCTGACAATAAGGAAATTCAAAAGGCATCTGGTAAAGGAGTCTAGCAGAAGAAGAAAAGTCAGGAAAAGTTAAGACTCAAATAGATGCGAACTCAGTAATTAAGCAGCGATTTCAGTGGGAAGAATTATAAAGGCTGCAACCAGAGAACTATATGGTAATATTTGTGTAGAAGAAAGTACTTGGTGTTTTAGACCACCTTGGTAGGAATTCATCCATTTTACCCAGCACAAAGCAGGAAAACTCCGTCTTAGCTGCAGAAGATGTATAAACCCTAGGAAGCAGGCAGCCACTATTTTGATCATTAAAAAACATGGTAAAACTCAGTATATCAGTGCAGAGATATAGTATTACAAACAGATTCTTAAAAATCAAAACCATGACTTACTACAAAACAGCCAGTAACACAATTTAAAGCTTTTAAAAGAGGTAAATAGTGTAAAAAAAAGTAAAAAGACTGGCAAGTAAAGAACATACTGCAAAATTGCTGTGGCACAGTGTCTATGCAAATTTGACATTCATTCAATTTAAAAGAGCACTGATTAAAACAGGAATCCAAGCTGAAAAAATAACAGATTTGAATCAATATGGAAATTGTACAGACTTAAAAAATCTTTACTGTAATAAGATTAATCAGCACATTAATAAGAAATAGAAAAAGATATACCACTTCCTGGCAGATTAAAATGTCAGTGATAGACTACACAGAACACTAGACTGGACTTCATGGAGTCAGAAGGTTCTTAGCAACAGCATTGTTTCAAAATTAAACGCAAAGCATGATGCTGATTAGGTTCATACACTATTCTATTCAATTATTATATTCCAATTATGGATGTTATTCCCCAAAACTTCAAAGCGTACAGACACTTCTGAAGCCATCTTAAAAGGTTTTGATAATTGACTTAAGAACAAATTGGAACATGGGAGAAAGCTAATCAAAATGTGCTTGATGCAGAAGCTAGTAACACCCAGGCATATGCAGAGAATACAAACCATACCTCAAAAAGGGTAACAGAGTCTATTCACTTAATAAAGGTATGCATGTTAAAGAAGGGCACGTGACAAGCCTACAGAGAAAAATAGTTAAACATCTGATGCAAATGACTAGAATCAGCGCTGCAGGACAAGGCCTCAGACACAGACCATATCCAGCCATCATTAAGGATTACTACATTTGAAAAATTATATGCCTCTTCCAAATGACATGCAGATGTGGGGCCCTATTGCAGAGCAACAAGTACTGATGGTCACTCAGAGGTCAACACAAAAGAACATTCACTGTCTTCAGTAAAGATCATTAGAAAAAGATACCACAGGCATTCCTAGGGGAACTGACCAATCCTGATGAGCCAGAGGAGGCAGAATATTTCTACATCGGGGGAGGTCCTGTTGATTTTGATTAAAGCAAAACACTACAAATGATGGAAATCTGAAAGAAGAAAAGATGACGGAGAAATTCAGCAGGCCTTGAGAGAGAAATGGTTAAGACTGAGTCCAATATGACTCTTCCCTGTTACCTTGTAATTCACACAGGAACAAATGTTACAGTCCTATCAAACTAGTTACCATAGCTGGAGAAACCGATGTTAAAGCTCACAGAAATAAGACTGCATGGTGTAGCTGAAGTAACTGTCTGCAGCATGTTAACACCCCAAGTTATACTATAATACCATGCACAACTGTTCAAAATGCATGGTTCACAATCAACCAGTTTCACTTCACAGCCTTCACGCAGGTCTCTACTTTCATGAAGAGAGTTGGAAGGGATTACAATCCTCCCAGAGAACAACTGGTCCAGAGGCAAACAGCTGTCCAAACCCTCCTCCAAAAACAATTTGTTATTGACCTACACATCAAAGGACAACCAGAAGATGATTTCATAGACTTTCCCAGGTTCACAGTGGAATCCAAACAGAAGAAAGAATCCAGTGAGGTCACTTATGCTGGTTAATATCAACTTAGAAGGAAGTCACAAATCTCATAGAACTGTTAGAAATGTTCCATCCTCTGCCTTCTAAAACAGAAGAGTCAATGCCAGAGAGACAGGGATAGTGCTAAGTGAGCAATAACCTTGCAGGAACAACACCGAGAATCTGAAAAAGTTTTCTTCACCAGTCGAACAGTCATGAGGCACCTGAAGACTTTCAGCCTGAGAAACTCCTCTAGGAGGTAAGATGCATCTGACTCCATGGGAACCAGACCAGTGTCACCGATTCAGGACATGGTCAAGACGACAAAACCTGCCTAATTATCCAGGATACTGTTTAAAAAACCCAAACCATCTTCCAATTAGACAGAGATTGCCTGGTCTGGAAATCCAGGATATTGCAAGGAAGAAAGCACTTACTTCAGAGCAACTGCCTTTCCAAAGGAAAATTCTGGGAGATTAGAGGGTAAAGGACTGTTAACAACATCCTCTACGAAGGATAACCAGGAGGTCAAATTATTCTCCAGTAGAGAATATCCACAGATCAGAAGCAGGATCAATAGTCCTCAAGGTCAAGATCCACCATTCTTCAAGGTCCAGATAGAGCGCATTCTAGAAAATTTTAATAAAATAAATTCATGGGATGAGGGCATCAATGGCAAGACTTGCCTATCCCTAATTGCCCAGAGGGCAGTTAATAATCAACCACATTACTGTGGATCTGGAGTCACACATAGGCCAGAGCAGGTAAGGATGGCAGTTTCCTTCCCTTAGGAAAGCAGATGGGTTTTTCCAACAATCGACAATGACTTCGTGGTCATCACTAGACACTTACTTCCAGATTTTTTAAACTGAATTTAAATTCCACCATCTGCCATGGCAGGCTTCAAACCCAGGCCCCCCAGAACACTACCTGGGTCTCTGGACTAACAGTATAGCGACAATACCACTAAGCCATAGCCTCCCTAATAATGTAAAACAGTGCGAAATGCCTGGAATTTGGTACTTGTGAAAGAGACGTTTTGGTGGTGGTGGTGGGATGGTGGGAAGAGACTCGATACTAGTAAGGGTATTACATATCATTGAGTAATGGATTAACAAATGGGGAATAAAGCTCAAGAGAAGGTGTGGCAGAAAGTAATGGCTCTGGACTTCATCCATTCTACTAATGGCCCATAGCCTGTATGGAGATAAAGAATTCACCACTAGCTTTTGGAGGGAGATATATCTATACCAGTTCGACAGGATTGTGCTCTGACTTCCATCCCTGATCGAAATCCTAAAATAGCTTAATCAACATATTATACACGAGGACTGCTCTGAACACGATGGAAGCTTGCCATGTTAGGAAGCATTACTGGCTTGTCATTCATTTATTGTACACATTGGCTTTCTTCACCAATGATAACAGGAACACATGCAAATTAAATTTCATAATACACCTCCTAAAAATGCACTGCCTCTAAAATTAAATACGATAATATGCTGACTCA